CCACCACTCTGTTAACACATATTCTCTCCTAGTCATTCTAAATTCTGGCCCTTTTATTTTAAAACTGGTGACATCATCCCAGTAAGGTCATTTTCTTCCTCAGTTCCCATTTTGTAAACAGAAGGCAAGTGGGAGAAAGCATCCTACCTCAGGCTGGGAAGAATTAAGAAATGCAGCTGGCCAACTCAATTGTGTGCTCTCATGCTCGGAGGGCAAAGACATCCTTAAATCTACCAATCAGACAATGGATTCTTCTACTTGAGTACATCTTTATGTTCTGGTGATTCACAGCTCTTGTAACCAAATGGAACCATAACCAGAAGGAGTGAAGAGTCTCATCTCCCCACCTGCCAGGGACACTGGCCTCACCGTTGCAACTGACCACTGCTCCGTTTCCAGTTCTGAAGTCATTGCTTGAGCAGGAAATACAAGAAGGATAATTCGGAGAATTATGATTGTCCAAACTTCGCTTGGCTCAAGAAATCAAGATTAGGAGGCATTCACTTTCAAACATCCCCTCTCTGCAAAGAGAGCTTTCCTACTGTTTTTCCTTTCTGATCTTATACTCTAATAAATTTTTGCCTGCTGCTCAAAAAAAAAAAAAAAAAAAAATTCAGGATTTCCCAGAAACTTTAAGTAAATGTCATGTCTACATTAACATCTGAATAAAAAAATACTCTTTCAGGGGCGCCTGGGTGGCGCAGTCAGTTAAGCGTCCGACTTCAGCCAGGTCACGATCTCGCGGTCCGTGAGTTCGAGCCCCGCGTCGGGCTCTGGGCTGATGGCTCAGAGCCTGGAGCCTGTTTCCGATTCTGTGTCTCCCTCTCTCTCTGCTCCTCCCCCGTTCATGCTCTGTCTCTCTCTGTCCCAAAAATAAATAAACGTTGAAAAAAAAAAATTTAAAAAAAAAAATACTCTTTCAAAGACAAACTTTTAAAAAGCAGATGATTGGGGCACCTGGGTGGCTCAGTCAGTTAAGCGCCCGACTTCAGCATAGGTCATGATCTCACCTTTTTTGAGTCCGAACCCCACCTGGGCTTTGCATGGACAGTGCAGAGCCCTCCTGGGATTCTCTCTCTCCCTCTCTCTGCCCCTCCCACATTCACACACAAGCACAAGCGTTCTCTCTCAAAAATAAACTTAAAAAAAAAAATTGTGAACAGATCCTTACACTTAAAGCCCTCCCTATTAAAAAAATAATAAAAATAAAAACAGATGATTGGGGCTGCTGGGTGGCTCCATCGGTTAAGCGACTCTTGATCTCTCCGACTCAGCTCATGATCTCACAGTTCATGAGTTCAAGCCCTGCATCAGGCTCTGCACTGACAGTGTGGAGCCCGCTTAGAATTCTCTCTCCCTCTCTCTACTCCTCCCCTGCTTGCTCTCTGTCTCTCAAAATAAACAAACTTTTAAAAAAATCTTTAGGGGCGCCTGGGTGGCTCAGTCGGTTAAGCGTCTGACTTCGGCTCAGGTCATGATCTCGCAATCCATGGGTTCGAGTCCCACGTTGGGCTCTGTGCTGACAGCTCAGGGCCTGGAGCCTGCTTGGGATTCTGTGTCACCCTCTCTCTGTGCCCCTCCCCTGTTCATGCTCTGTCTCTCTGTCTCAAAAATAAATAAACGTTAAAAAAAAATTAAAAATCTTTAAAAAAATAAATAAAAATAGATGATTGAGGAATATGACACTTCATTTACTAACTGCATTGGGGTAGTCTGAAATTCCTGCCCCTGCAGTGGCCAAAATGGGCAAGTCTCAAAATTAAAACTGATAAATAATTGATCAAGCCAATTCCCCCCAGAATTTACATATATAAGATTGTAAAAGATTGAAAAGATTCCATTTTATTGAAATATACCAGATAAACCCAGGACTTGTGCTTCAGTGCACCTAAATGTTAGGGTTGAGTAATCAAGTTTTAACACTCCATTTGACCTGATAGGAGTGATATTCAATTAGTGTAATGTCTTCTAAGAAGTACTTACTCAGTAAATGGCTGATGACTAAAATTAACCACAAAAAAAGAGAAAGTAAACTGGACTGCTAAATAGGCAGCATGCATGTCATATAAACATCACTGAGATGGAAAAAAAAATCTGTAAATAGCCTTTAATTTGTGATCAGCATCCTAACAGGGGAGGGGGGGGTTGTATTAGTCTAAACCCCCAAATGTCCACACACGCAATCAAGAAAGCTCAAGATGTAATTCATAACTAATTCAACCTAGGAAGTGGTCTCACTTGAGCCCCTTGCATTCACAATATTTTGTGCATTTGCAATTAAAGACAATTTGAAATTGCAATGCGAACAAGTCACTTTATTTCTAGAGAAATAGAAACCAAAGACCCCAAAGAGTTTTTGCCAAAACAGTCACTTGGTCTATGAACAACCTGTGGTTTTAGTCACTGATACGAGAGGCAGATCACGACAGTGAGATGGTCCAAGGTTAAACTGTAGAAAAAGCAGCATCCAATCAAAACCAGGGAGCCAGTACATCCTACACGCCAGGCAGCATGTCACACATGGGGGGGGGGGGACACTTGAGCAAAAACACACATACGGTCCCTGTCCCGTGGAGCATTTACAACAGCCAGGAGAACACTTAGTCAAGTCACTAAACCTACAAACGTGGGAACTGCTGGAAGAAGGGTGCTACAGGAGCCTGGCATGGCACATAGGATTACTCGAAGGTCAGCACTAGGCTTTAACAGGGCAAAGAGGGGAGGCAAGAGCTCCGTGCTGAGTCACTCTTAATCAGGGAGTCCTTTCGAAAAGACAGGTTTTCAAAACCTGAGTAATAAATTTTTGCTAGCTGAAATGAAAAACGACACCATTTTCCAAGGAGACACGTAAGTGTATTGATTTGTCTCCAAATTGATAACTGGGCAGGATGCCAAAGAGTTCAATGATATTCTAGATGTTATTTAAGTAATTTTTTTTAAAGGAGGTGGCTTGGCTGCTTCAAGATGGTGGTGACTAGGAAAGAGGGTGGATAGGATTACGGAAGGACAAAAAGAGAGCCAAAGGAATAGTTCTTAAATGAACAAATTCAAGTTTACCAGATTTATTTAACAGATTAGGTATCCTGTTTCAGCATGAACTGTTAAGATAACCTGAAGCAGTAAAAACCGAGGGAAAAAACGTCCCCAACTGCAAGCTTTTAGTAATTACAGCTTAAAACTACTTTCATTACGAGACTCTAAACTTTTAATTTTTTTTTTCAACGTTTATTTATTTTTGGGACAGAGAGAGACAGAGCATGAACGGGGGAGGGGCAGAGAGGGAGACACAGAATCGGAAACAGGCTCCAGGCTCCGAGCCATCCACCGAGAGCCTGACGCGGGGCCTCGAACTCCCGGACCGCGAGATCGTGACCTGGCTGAAGTCGGACGCTTAACCGACTGCGCCACCCAGGCACCCCAATTACGAGACTCTAAATACTGCTCATGAGGCCATTTTGGCAGTAGTCGGCATCAAAAGGTGATGTACGGTGAGTATTAAAGTGAGAGTCAGATCTCAATAGGATAGTACCTGACTCAAGCCTAAAGCTTAGGCACCTCTTAGAAAATTCGATATTCCAGGCAATTGGTACTTGGTACCATCTACAGCTCTAGGGACCACGGGTTTTACAAGTAGGTACAAGTTAAACGCTAGGGGTAATCTAATTAAGAGCACTCTCTCAGCCCAAACTAGACTAGGACAGCTAAAGAGGTCACAACGATGACATCACAGTTGAGAGAAATTTACCTAGATTTCAGGGCGGGAGGTTGTTTTTCACACTGTAAACATCTACACTTCCTGATAACTCTTAAAGGTCCTCACATCCTATATCCTCAGATACAACACATAGTATGTCCTCTTTTTTTTTTTTTTTTTTTTTTTTTTTTTTTTTTTTTTTT